GGCTCCGATGTTACAGAAGAGTTATTTTGCTTATTTAACCAGACCCGACGTCATAATGTGTTAGTTTGACTAAATCATACAAATTTTTCTAAGTGCCTCAAAACTGCAGTTAGAAAATGATGAGCTTGGACAAAAGCGCTAAAAGAAAAAAAATCCTCTTGCGATCGCTTGAGCCTACGAAGACTCTTAAATATAGCCAGTTGATAGTGCTTTTCGAAAACTACATAATGACCATTTTTTCTTCTTTTATATCGCAAAATATAAGGGACTGATATTAAAAAACTTGTTTTTTAGGTTTGAAAGTAGTCAGTCAATGCTGGCGCTTTCCGGTATCTTCTCTATATTTTCGTATTCTTATAGTAAATAAAGAAATGTTCAATATGTTTTGTATAGCGAATTAAATGAGAAATCCTTTAAAAACAAAGATTGAGACTTGGCGATCAATCTTGACCAAGATATTGAGAAAATACTGAATGGGACATTTATTCTGGGCCACTCGTTATGATACTGTACACGCTGTACAAGAATAGGGAGTATATAGTAAACTTTGTTTGTTCTGTTTGGTCTAGACTGCTATTGTGTAGAAAAAACGAAAATGTACATTTCGATTAAAATAGGAAAAAATTGAAGCACGTGTACTTTTGGAAATTACACATCGAACGTTTTATACGTTTCTGAATTTTTTTTCTCATAAACTGTCATCGCCACACATGAGAACTCTTTCAAAAAGAATATTATTTTATTCCTCAGCGAAAACTGTCGTAATACAAATTGGAATCTATCAGCTATTTTTGTCTTATATTTAAGTCAAATGAACTGTTGTATCTAGCACTAGCTGAGCGCCTTTTTGCTTGTTGTTAATTTGATAGGTGAAAAAATTTCGATGCTAAAAGTAAGGTTCTATTTAACTTTTCAGAACTTTTGCTGATAAATTTATGAGCAAACTTTCTAAAATAAAAAAAGTCATGGCCCAGTCAAGATCCATCTAAAATATGTCACAATATCAAGAGGTACTCTATTTTACCTGCTCAATATTATGCAGTTTAATAAAAGCTTGAAAAATCAACAGAAAATACTTCGGTTTTTGAACTAGAAATCTTCCGAAGTACAAGAGTGTTTTTTACTATTCTCAAGTAAAAAATCGTTTGGAGAAGGTAAAGTAGATCTTGATCTTGATATTCTGACATATTTTGGATGGATCTTGACTGGGCCATGAATTTTTTGAGTCAAACTCTTGCTTAGATCTTATTTTACAGAGGACACTTCGGACTATCTATCTACGAGAAAAAAACGATAGATTACTATGTCGGCTTCTGGAAATTCGAGCTAGTTTTCCAAAGATCTTGTAGAAAATCGATCTTTCGAAGGTTTTCGAAAGATAATTTTGCTTATGAAACTATAGCTTAAACTGTCATCTTTTGATTGCTAAAAGCCGCACATCTCTGTCGTTTATTGATTTTGAGTTATCCGGAAACCAACCGAATACATTATATTTTGGGATGGATAGTATTGTAAATCTTTTAGAACGGATAGCCTTGCATCGTACTCGTCCTCCTTTCCTCACTTTTCATCCTAAATTAAATTTTCCCCTCCTTTTGCTATAAGCTTTATTCTTTCAGAGTATTCTGAAAAGTGAGGAAAGGAGGACGAGTACGATGCAAGCGGATAGAGCTTTCGTAGGAGTATGACAGTACCTAAGTATCGTTCAACTGTAAAATGTTCGCAAACTTTTATAACAGAAATCGAGAAGTCTTCGATCTTCTTCTATTGTCTATATACAAGTGCTAAATGCAGAACAAAAGAGATGATTGACTTCTCCGGCAACCACAAAAATAAGACGAATGAACGTCTGACAGAAAAAAACGCCTTAAAATAAGATAGATAAAACAGCTTTGTTAAATGAACTGAAAAAGAATCAATAAAAGATGCTATGCACTAACACAGAAGTACTTTTGACACTTTGCTACTGACAGAGACATAAGCCACATCTGTCTACAACTTTGAGTGTATTCATTATAAATTTTTGTACAAAGATGTTAACTATTTCTTCTGATTTCTTTCCTATTCTATGGTATCGAATTCTAAAATGAAGTAGTATAAATATAATTCAGTCTCGTTATCTAACTTATTTCCTTTATGTGCAGTTTATTAGATGTCAAACATCGAATATTTTTCCTGAATTACATTTTAAATTACATCTATTACTACAGATTTTCTCTTTTTCTTGTTTTTTTGTCTTTTTTTATATTGACACGCATCGTCAACTAATAATAGTAGAGATAATAGAACATCACCAACTATTGATAAAAATCAAATTCATCTATGCTAATCGATAGACTATAGAGCTAAGGAATTATATGATTAAAATAGTGAATAGAACAACAATATTAGTATTTAGGAAATAATTTAACCCACGTAAAAACAATTCTAAGTTGAAAGAAAAAAAAAAAAGTTGATTTTTGTTATTAAACGTCAGAATCATATATTGTTTTACTTAAAGAAACGAAGAACGCATAAAAAGTAAAAAAGGACGTGGGGATACATTCAAATTTCAAGATTCAGCTGTTTAAATTGAGTTTTATATTAACATGATTGAATATGAATAAGGAGGGTATGTACATATTGAGAAAGAAAACGATCACAGATTTAATCGAAATTTCTATTTACATGATTTAAAAGAATTTATTGAATTTATTGCTTAATTGGAGCTAGAGGTGAGACCATTTCCAAGTCCAAGTTAAGTCCAAGTCTGTCAAATAAACCTTCAACTCCGGATTTAAGTCCAAGTCCGGACTTGGACTTGTCTACCTCTGACTAGAGAAGCAATTTTGCGAATATGATTGAAATTGACATTAGTTAGACTGGATTATCAAATTTAATTTCGCTCTTGTTCAGATAAGTATCCAGTCCTGAACGTATATATCACTCTTGCCATTTTGACGCAACTAAAAAAAGAGCTAGAAGGTTTCTTCTGATTGTTTAAGTTAAGCTACTATAGTAAAGAAAGTTTTTTATTGAAAAAACTTAACAAAAAAAAACTAGAGTAAGAAATATTTAAAAAATTTTATTTCCATGAACTATTAATTGCCGCAGTTAACAAATGATCGTTATTTAGTAGACATATCGTAGCATTTCGTGATGTTAAACATTTTAACAGTTTCAAGATTGTTCTTGTTGTTTGATCTTTATTGTCGTCATAATCTAAAATGTGTGTGTACCTAGTTCTTACGAGTAGAAGAAGAAAAGATGTAAAAACTCATCAAATCGCATCAACTATTAAAGATTCTATATATATATATATGTTATCGGAACAAACAAAATTTACTTATATTTCTCTCTTTTTGCTTTTTTTTCAAAAAATCAAAGTCAAGATTCTTTCATCATCATCATCATCATCATCATATTTTAATTTGACATGCATCAAACAGAGAAGAAGAAAAAAATGGGAAAACATAATTTTTTCGTTTGTCTAAACCATAGGCTCTGTGTTTCTTTTTTTCAACAAAAAAAAAATGAGAACAAAAATCGGAGACAAAAAGAATAAAAACTATTGACAATAGAAGAGAAATACCCCCGTTATATTTTGTGGCCTTCCATCACGGAAACCATCTGTCGATAATGCAAATACCACTTTAGAGCGAGAGAAAGAGAGAGGCAGAGAGAGATGGTCATAAATCATCATAGACCAATAATCAACACTTCAATTCCTTTTGATCCAATTAAAAAAATCTACTTCAACACATTTTTGTGCTGTTAATTCCGACGTTCATTTTTTAAAGAAACGATAATAATGGTTGTTTAGTTCAGCTTTCTTTTTCATTTTCTGATTCTCGATTCATTGTTGTAGTAAGTATAAAGATGTATATAGGTTCCAATTTACCATTCACAAATAATATTAAACATTTATATAAAAACAAAAGAATGTTTTCTTTTTTCTTTTATTATAAGTAAAAATGTAATTAAAATGACGAAAACAAGAAAATGATCAACATTAATCATCTGTCATTATAATCGAATACATGACAAATCTTCACGATAGAAAGATTTCCTCTAAATTAGCTCTCTTTTGTATGAAGTAATTTTACTAGGTAAAATACATCTTCAAAAGATCTGTCGATTTCTTGTAAAATTTTTTGTAATCTTCTGTAAACTATTTCAATATTCATCGATTATATACCTTATTTAGTCGTTTAGATATTCTTTCAATTTTTTAAATAGGTAAACAGTCTAACTCTTGGGAGAATAAAAATGCTTGGTAATAATTTTTCTTTAAGAAATTTTTCAGCTGTAGACTCGATTTGTCATCTACAATTAACGAAACGAACTCATGAAATAGGTTTTCTTACGCTTTGTGTTTTCCGATTCACTTCTACGATAACTATCAGTACTCACATTTACACGACTTGGTATTTCCCTCTGTTGCATTCCTGAAAAGATCGGACACACGCACATACAAAATCGTATTTAGTTTTTAAAGGTCTATTAGCGTTCCAAATATGCACTTTACTACTACAAAAGTTACAATCACATAATTTTCGCTGTATAATTTATAATATTAAAAGCTCGACTTTTGCAGATGATTTAACTAATAGCATATTAGGTTTTCAATTGTACTCAATATTTAATCCGTTATATTTTTGATTATATTCATTAAATATTCGAGTTATGTTGCTCATTAGATAAAGTAAACTATAGACAAGATTGAGAAAAATTTTCTCTGATTTATTTAGTCAATATATTTCTCATTTAGAAAAGTTTTAAAAACTGAGTATCTAAAAGAGACAGCAAAGAAGAATTTTAACTTTTATAGTTTCAGAATTTATTCACCATTCTAATATGTACAATTTCAATATCTATGTTATGATTGAAATTCAGTGAGTGGTAGTGCTATTGACGATAACATGGATATATATTGGCATTTTTGGCAATTTTGGCAAAAATGGCGATCATCCCGTGTTCTTATATTATTTATTGTATTTGTTGCTCTTTTCTTAGACAATATGCTATTAACTACTGTTGGTATGCATTGATAAATTCCCCAAGTAATAATAATATTATTAAATTTTTTTTATTATTATTATTTAATAGTTCCAATCATTCCCGATTATCTTTATCAACTTGAACATGAAACCGATCCTATCTATCAAGTTTTAGCAAAAAATTGTTCAAATTTTGCACCTGTTCGACGTTCTGACTATTTTCAGCGACATCCCACGGCATTACATCAATATTTAGTTGATATAAATTGTACGGATCTTGATAATTGGGCAATGAATGTAATTCAAATAGAACATGGTAACAAAAAAATAGTTCTAGTTAAGGTATAAATTTTTAATATTTATTTTTTTCCAAATTAAATTAAGAAATATTTTAGGAGAATTCACGTGTTGGTATTATGTTTGCTTCCAAAGCATTTGTACAATTAATCATAAATCCATTTATTGGACCGTTGACAAATAGGTATATTAAACTATCAGGTGTAAAAAAATAAAAACGATTAATATATTCTATTATTCTAGGGTCGGCTACAGTATACCAATGTTTTCCGGTTTTGTGATCATGTTCTTATCAACAATAAGTAATGACATAGGTTTTATCAAAATGATAAAAATTTTACTAACTGTTCTGCTTTAGCATTTGCATTTGGGAAAAGTTATACGGTGTTATTTATTGCTCGTGCAGTTCAAGGAATAGGTTCAGCATGTTCAAGTGTCTCAGGTAAAAAACCGAAATTATTAATTAGTAAATAATCTAGAAAATAATTACAATTCAGGTCTTGGTATGTTGGCTGATAGATATCCGGATGATGAAGAACGAGGCCGAGCAATGGGAATTGCTCTAGGCGGTCTGGCACTTGGGGTTTTAGGTATGTTATTCTCGTAGATAGACATTGAATAAAGTGCATCATTTTGTTTTTAGTGGGTCCACCGTTTGGCGGATTTATGTATGGATTTGTTGGAAAGGCATCACCATTTCTTATATTAGCAGCACTTGGACTATTTGACGGATGTATGTATCGATTTTGAAATTCTTAATCGTGCAGATAAAAAATAATTGTACTCTCTATGAGTTTCCTATTTGAAGTAAGAATACTAGTTTTATTAATTTAGTATTACAATTAACTGTTTTGAAGCCTGGTGTATCAACAGAAACTGCGGAAGGTGCATCATTAAAAACACTTATACAAGATCCTTATATTCTCGTGGCTGCAGGTAGGTACTTACGCATAGTTGTTGTTTTTATAATAAGAATATCGTGGTTTTGATGATTTTCAAGGTGCCATTACATTTGGCAATATGGGAATAGCAATGATGGAACCATCATTACCCATTTGGATGATGGTCAAAATGAACTCGTCTGAATTCCAACAGGGACTTGCATTCCTACCGGCTAGTATTGCTTATTTGATTGGAACAAATATTTTTGGTCCAATGGCACACAGAATTGGAAGGTATAGAAATAACTAGATGTATGAACAAAAACACTTGGTAATAAAGTATTCTACAAACGTTGTATGTATATATTCCTAGATGGTTATGTTGTATGATTGGTTTGATTATTATTGCCATATCTTTATTATGCGTAAGTTTCTATAAAAGTATCTTAACTTAAAATTTTCTTTTATTAAATTTAATTTTTGTAAAAGGTTCCACTAGCAACGTCAATATGGGGTTTACTTTTGCCAAATGCTGGTTTAGGTTTTGCTATTGGAATGGTGGATAGCTCAATGATGCCACAAATGGGTCATCTTGTCGATATTCGTCATTCATCCGTGTACGGAAGTGTTTATGCTATTGCTGATGTGGCATTTTGTCTCGGCTTTGCAATAGGTATACGATCGAACAGAATGAAAATTTGAAAATAATTTATATGAACTATTTTTCGTTTAGGTCCGGGTTTGAGTGGCTTTATCGTTCGAACACTTGGATTTCAGTGGATGTTATACACCATTTCTCTTATTTGTTTACTCTATGCTCCATTAATGCTGTTCCTACGAAATCCGCCTGGCAAAGATGAAAAAGTGGTTTGTAATTCATACGTTTAATGATGAATCTCATTAATTCATTTGCTTTTTTTTAATCGTATAGTCACTTATTATGAACGAGAATCATAGTTCATTCTCGTATGTTCGAAGTAAATCACTCGATGGCGAAGGTTATCATGACTATTGAACGAGAAACATGTATTCCATCATAGAATAGATTTATTTGTTGTCAATCGTAAGCAATGTATTAATTTAATCCTGGTGATTTTTAATTTTACATCTGTGCAAAGTATATCGAATTTTCTTTCTTTCTTACATTCAATGCAATAGTCTGTTTATTTATCTTGTTTTATCAAAGAAAACACAAAGATTTTATTTCCGTCCGAGTAATGATTGTATTTACATCCACTTGTTTTTCTATCTCAAAACATGTATGTAAAATTCTCCTTTGTATATATTTACGTAGGTTAAAGTACGAGTACGCTTCTACAGAACAATTTTTAAACAACCTTATATATAAGAAATTCTTTTTAGTTAGAAAAACTCAAAATGTGCGAGCAGATTCATAAATTTTTCTATTTTGTCAACCATCGATATTTTGTCCTTTATAAAAACTTATTCTACTAATATATTCATCTAAACTGTTATTTATTAAATATTCCTTCGATGAACCACTATAATAAAATTATTATCAAAGAAATAATTTAACTTCATTCTCCAACGGAAAGTGCTCAGATATGTCAAACATATCATATCTAAGTGATAACTAAAACATTAACAAGATCTGGGAAGATCAGTCCCTATCTCGCTAAAATGATTGCTTTTCTAGAGTAGGAGAAATCTTTTGAATTGTGAATTCTTGAGTATCATTCTCTTAAAATAATGTTTGAAAAGTATTTCTTTAACAACAGTATTCTACAAAAAAGCAGAGCTAAATTAAAAAGATGTCAACTGTAAAGACTAAGCTAAACTTCAAATAAAAGAGAAAGCAACTTTTATTCAAACTGAATAACGCCCTAATAAATTACAGTGAAGTACGCATAAACACTCTGCATACAAACATGCTTCACAGAGAATTAGTTTTACTTGATAGGGAATCATGCAACATAAAAATTGCCGTCGTCCATTGTGTTCAAATATTGAAGTTGTCACAATTGTGATATTTACAGTGACAGCATGTATAATTTTAGTGATCTAAGGGAATATTATTCGAATCAATTGTTGTTTTCAATTTTTCTGAATCTTGTTGATCAATATGGATGGAAATAAAACCCGACTGATAAATTAAAAGTTACATCCACTGGCATATCAAAATATATAGAAAATATTTTAACTAACTGGCTCTCTCTTAAGAACTTTCTAATTACACCATTTGCTTCACCTAAACGTTGTAAAGATAATTATTTCGTTTCATCAAATCTCATGTACATCTTTGACAGTTGAAATTTGTCTACTGTTAACTATAATTTCACTGGACAAGTATCACCATGAAAACAGGCTCCAATCTAAACCATAACCCCCGATGGAAATTCGGTTTACCAATGAACTTCTCCCATTTTATTCGCTCGTTCCCAAACCGGTGCCCATATTCTGTCGTTTTATTTGTTGTATAGGCCGTCTATATGAAATGCGAGCGTCTGTCAACTTTGGTGCGACAAGTTTTACATACGATTTCCATCCTATATCACTTCTAATTATTCTTTGCATGGTTGTTCCTGATACTTGATACTTTTTGGCCAATTTTCTTGTCGAACCCTTTTTTTTCAAAGCTAAAAGATGTTGTTTTATTCTTCTGATCAATATTTTGGTTGTCTTACACTACGTTGACGATCTAGTGGTTTGGATAAATCAATACTGTTTATAGTCGTATTGACTGTTTCCTTGAACATCTTTATCTATCTTGACATCTTTACCATCTTGGTTTTATATGACACTTTATTTGCAAGTCGCCTTGAAATGTCACGATTACTCAAACCTTGACCATGCAATCACAGTACGATATGTTGTGCCCCTTTACTTCTCATTTTTTTTGCAGTTTGCTAAAGAATGTTTATATCTATAAATACAACAGTTTTAAAAATAATCTAAAATTGTCGCATTTCTAACGGATAATGCTGATTATCAAATAAATACGCTTTTTTTTAAAGAACAGTTTGTCAAATGTTTAAAGGATATATTAAGATTTAACAGAGAATAATGAGATCAAAATATAATAATAAGAGTAATGAATTATTTAGAATTAACACAGATACTCATAAATGGTCAAAACTCTATTTGAAAAATTTACTAGAACAAACAGGCGATCATAGTAATGTCTTCTACAATGGAAATATACTTGTATGCGATAAGGTTCAATGTAGATCATTACGTAATGTAGCAAAACAAATAAAAAAGGAATCTATTTTTTGAAAGAAAGGTAGAAAGGTAATTGTTCTCGATCGAAAACAATCACTGAGGTTGAAAATGATTTACAACAGTTCATGTTTGATATAAAAGAGGTGAAGGTCAGAAATTTGAAAAAACTGAAAATATAATGCACATCTCTTCGATAAAACAGCAGTTTCATACGGTTCTCATAATTCTTCCAGAATCAATGCAACTGACTCCTGCATGTCACAAAATACTATTGTTCAGATAACTTGTGTATTTACGAAAATAAAACCACACGACCATGCTGAGCGCGCAAAATAGAGTATGTTTTAAAATGTTGTTCAGATAGTCAGATCAATTTGGACTAAGTTAGAAGACAGAGAGTCTGAAATCGATATTTTTAACTGAAACTAGATAAAAATACTTGAATAAAAAATCTTAGAAAAGAATTGTAAGTCCAAAAACTCTCTCAATTCACAATCCACAGAATAAATGACGGTCTGATGGGAACAAAGGTGTTATGTATCCCTAACGGATTTATATAGACAGTGAACAACGCAGTCAAATAGTTTTTCCACATGAAAAATAGAAAAATAGTACGATACTTAAAAACAGCTAGTTTTAAGTATCGTACTGAATACACAATAAGAAAAGAAAAACCATTCGAGATGAGTTGTCAATATTTGTAGAATACTTTGGGTTTTTAACATAAAATAAGTAGACTGGTTGATACCGATATATATAGAAATAGGTTCGATAGGTTATTTGCAGCAAGTTTCTTATCCTTATCTATACATCAGAATTTATTGCCCATTGCACCAGAAAAATTCAACATATTCATTTACGGCATCTATTTTTCATGTAAACCGACGATGAGTGAGTAATTTTAAGAGTTGTTCGATGGTTTCTTCATTACATAATTTTAGTTAATCCTTGACATTCCATCTGATAATAATTCAACACTTTCGACTCATAATGTACTCTCAATTGAAAATAACACTTCTTCTTCACCACACGAACGAATTGTTATTATATTACCGTATGGTTTTGTGGTTATGTGAGGATCAGTTTCTATTTTAAACACTGCAGACTGAGTATGAGATGAATCTAATGATGGTTTACCAGCATAAAGCATTGCCAAATCTTTCGAAAGTGTTGTGGATAAAAATGTTGTAGACGTAAAGACATCACCAATATTATCACGAATCTTCTCTAATTCATCAACAGACATTTTAGATCCTCTATAAACTACCAACTTTTCATTTTCGCATTGTGTAGATTGTTCATGGACTTTCTTTATTGCCGCCGATACAGACACTGTTCCTAACGGACATTACTATATAGAGTTACAATTATATACTTACAATTCATGATTCAGACTTTTTGAATAGCGTTTAAGATCTCGAATAGAACTACGTAATTTTAATATTACTTTAATATTCATTATTCTTAATGCAGAATTTAATAGTCGAAATAAAAAAGCTTGGCATGTGTACCGTCTTAAGGCATCAGTTGAACGATAGGTTCTTTCAAAGTCATCTATTTTTTGTAATTCATTACACTCTAAAAAAAAAGGTATTTAAAAAAACCCTAAAAAGTATTCTCCATTTGAGAAAAACCAAAAAAAAGGTATAACCACCTGTGAAAAACGTTTAAAGGGTTTAACCATTTGAAACATATCATAACTGTTTAAAAGTTTCTTATTCTTATCAAAAAACTAATTTTCGTTTTCTAAAATACGGCTAAATTATATTCTGAAAAACGGTTGAGATTTCTTCATGTCACAAAAAAACCTTTCAGGTATTTTAAAATCCCAAAGCAATTCAGGATTTTTTAAATCACGGCTTTTTCATTTTCTAAAAATCTCAAAGGAGTTTTCTGATAGAAAGTAAAAAACGTTTAAACAGTTATGATATGTTTCAAATGGTTATACCATTTCTCGTATTTTATAATACCTTTATTTTTTAGAGAGTAGCATTATTACTATAAAGTACCGGCATGTTTCAACCATTTCCTTCCTTTCATTGTCGGTGGATGGCATCTCTAATAAACATTTAACTAACAATTGATTTGATTGATAAGTGTTTAATACCCGCTGTTGTAAAGAACAGATATTTTTGATTGTTTTGCTAAATCCAAAATTTTAAAAACATTTCAATTTTAGATTGAGAGTCATTTATTTTGCAAACAGACAGAATATAGCAGCTGTAAATCTGCGTGTGAAGCAAAAATGAATGCAGAGTGATAAATATAGTAGTGAGAAAAGGATTCAGTCCCGATTCGCCGACACTCACTCTCACACCGCCCCTCCCGCCTTTGAAATTCTTTGATGTATATTCTTTGAAGTGTCCGATTTGTCGACGAATCGGGACGATACCTGAGAAAAGGGATATGTCTTTTTTTTTCTATCGAATTGATCACCAAAAAATATCAATTTTGCTTATTAAATTAATTAACGAAAGATGACCATAGAAAGAATAATTTTAATCATAAAATAAGTTCGTCAATCGAAAAGAATCAAAATGTTAACAGAAAAGACGACTTTCGTGATCTAAATTATTTTGTTTCACTCAAAAAGGTTGACAAAATAATCTAAAAAAGATCTGAAGAATCATACATTTAAAGTATTAATTGACACGCCATGAGTACAGACAACATGAATGAAAATGTCTTAAGTTTTGATGTGTTTGGAAATTGCAAACCAAAACCAACACGCACCAATAAACACTGACTTCGATAATCATTTTGAAATCGATATGTCGATGTTATTTTATCTTTTGAAAGAAATGATTTTGTTGTTCGACGTGGTAATGCTCTTAACAGCAAGATCACAATCTAAGAAAAATATTTAATGCTCGAGAAGATGTTATTGTCACAATAACATTTGTCTTAAAATTCAAATTTGTCAACGTTATATTAGTCTTTTTGAAACAGAAAGAATGTTTTTCTATTTGTATTATCCCTGGTAGCCGAACCCATGTAATTCCGAGACGTCTTCGCTGTTAAAATGATGGGTAGTAATACTCGCTTAAACATTCAATTTATGATGGAGAAACAAGAGGAATTTGTTCAAGACGAAACTTGGATGACCGAGTTGCTATATGTATATTTTTCGGGACCGTCTCATTATACTCTTTTCAGACTGATCCACCCAAGGTGATTATGCATTAGAATATGGTGCAATTTCAAATTTTGAATGTGTTTCTTTGGCTGAAAAACTCGCCAAAGATAAAGCGAAACAAAAAGACGATGAAGAATCAACGAATCCGATGAAAGTATGCGCATGTTTTCCCTATTGAAATTGTGTGTACAGAACAAAAAGTCAGCTTTTTCTAAAAATGGAACCCAATAACCTCTTTCTCACCTCTCTCTCATGTTGCTTATTACGCGAATAACTGAGTGTTATATCTTGCTCTCCATCTATTTCATATTGTGTTTGAAATTGTTTACAGACAAAGAACTAAAGACTTTATTGTCTACACAGAACGTTCATTCCCTCTTCTCTATAATCTCTTTTTCCAATATATACTTCGATACACCGGCCAATGCATCGATAGCTCGACATACAATAAAAAATGAAAAAAACAGTATAATAGCATCAATTAATGTAGTATAAAATTCATTCGTGGTGTACAATGTTCCTACTCCAGCTAATGTTACCAAAACAGCTGATCCAACTAATAACCGGGGACCACCCCATACGTACCATATGACACCATTGTTTATTGCACCTGTTACAGTGAATAATATTTGACAAATTTCAAATTCACGAGTTTTAACATGTACATTAACAAGTAATTTTGGTATGCTTTTTAAAAATAAATGTTTACTGACACATTCACAACAATTTGTTGTGTCATTTAGGAAAGCAGGAAAATCACGAACACATTCGGCAAGAATTCTATCAACTTCATGTTGTTGACCTTTATAATACGTTGCAGTACTCAGGTAAATCGATGCACCAAATAAAACAAAATATACAAAGAGTAATATCGTTGTAGTTAATCGAATCGAATTCTGATCCCTTGTATTCAGTAAATGCTCAGCTGGTGGAGTCTAAAGAAAACACAAAAATAGATTAAAAACTACACTTTATGTGCACAAAATGTGTTCAACTTCACCAGACGGAAATTATCTATCTTGTCCACTAGTCCTAGAATCGCACAGGATTTTTTGGTCCAAGCTTTGAGAGAAGAGGAAAAGTATTAAAAGTAACCCCCATTTTTTTCTCTCATTAGCCAGATATATGTGAAAAAAGTTTCGAAATAAATTCAAGTTCTTATTGAGAGAATCTGAGCCAAACAAGGAAGGTGATTTTTCCTCCTGGTCGAAAAAACTGAAAGTTTGAAAAAGTCAGGTTTTTCGTTCACAGAACAAAAAGCGATTCTACATTAAGGATCTATTCTGACTTCCAGGATTTAGTTCCCTATCAGATACTATATAAAACGTACTTAGAAAACTTTTGTTTAGAAAATACTTTTCACAAGTGAACAGACTGAAACTCTGAGTCGAAAATTCGAAACAGATTTTTATTTGATTTTGTATGAGAAATTGTTGGGCTATTCAGGAGTCTAACTGAATCTCCGAAATAATCACCACTCTGCTATTTGTTGTGAAGTGCTTATTATCTTTTGTGCTTATAACTAGAATGACATAGAAAATTCACAATAGTTCTCGATATTCTGCTGGATAAACCTCGACATGTTTCAAAGTTCACTGAAAACGTGCGAAATACATTAACATACTCGATTTGCTGTAAGAAGTTCAACACCAGAAAATGTCAGAAAATTGACTTTGCTAAAAAGTACAATTGCAGTGTATTAGAAGCTAGTGCGATTGTATCACATATTTATGTATAACCTCATATTTTTAAAATTCTTTTTGCAGTTTTATTAGCTCTATAAGAATCTATGTCCAATTTTCGATCAGTTATTCAGAGTTTCAGTCTGTTCACTTGTGAAAAAATACTTTCTAAACAAAAGTTTTCCAACCACGTTTATATAATATCTGCTAGAGAACTAAATCCTGGAAGTCAGAATAGGTCCTTAATGTAGAATAGCTTTTTGTTCTGTGTATGAAAACACTGGCCTTTTAAAACTTTCAGTATTTCGATAATTTGGGTGTAAAATAGACAAATGCAATATGCTAAAAGTACTGAAGTGAGCTTCTATGAAAAGCTTTTTGGGTATTTTCGAGTAAACATTTATAACTCAAGAATAGAAAGATCATAAAGTCTAAAATTGAGATTGCCTCGTAATTTTGTATAGAGAATCCAATGGAATATATGTTTTATACAAAATAATTTTCGATGTGTTCCGCTGATTCTCAAAGCACTGGCAAAATACGTGTTAATGATTAAAATTTCAGATTACCATATTCCATTTCCAACAACGAAAATACTTTTGTTTTAAATCTTCATTCGTTTTTATAGCTTTTAATTTTTTATTGTATTCTTCTTCTGAAAAAGAAAAGAGAAATTCATTGGCGACGAAAGTGAAAATATCTGTCGAGCCGAGCAAAATAAGCATACCTTGAGATAATAATGAAACCTGAGTTATTGTAACGCTAAATATAGAACAGTTTGTACGCGTGTCTAAAGCTTCAACATGTAAGACTGTAAGTGTCAAACCAGAAAGAAAATATCAAAGCCGTACAATCAAGTGTATGCGACCGGATTTCGGATCAAACAAGAAGGTTTTAAAAGGTTTTCCATCATCAATAGCAACTCTTCAAAATAAATCTAACGGAAAATATTGAGATGAGCTCATAATATTACCATGTAAAAACACTTTTATCCTTGAATATATTCAGCCAAAATGAGCTTCTGAAAACCAACGTCTTACTGACTGTCGCTCCTCGCTTTATAATCTTGAGAAATCTTATCATAGTGCAATGTTTTAAAGGCTGAGTTTATACTTTTTTCTAGCTGCTTTCAACCTACCATGTAATGTTTTTCTAAAATAAGAGCCTATTATTGCACTCCAGAACTTTGATGCTTCCCAAGTAACACTATCAATAAACTAACAAATATGCATCAACAACAATGTACCACATGTATGAATCACAAAAGACACTTTTAGTGGCTGAATGTTTTCCAATCGAACTTTGGGATTATGTCCTCTTTCCATTCGTACCATAGCCTACACTTAAACAACACGCGTTTGCAACACTTTACTTCTTCGATACGCGTTTGGGCATGTTTCGAACAGGTAGAAAGTGTTTCAAATGTGTGCAAAGTAAGATTTTACAACCTAGAGGTCATTGTCGTATCAATGGTACGAGGACTGACGACTACACTGTCAGAAAAGTGAAGTGACTGAATGGCTAAATAAGACGGTTCAAATGACTGATTCAGTCGTTTTAGCAAAGATTTTTGTGGATGAAACGACTGACTCAGTCACATTAGGGAAAATACGGTATA